CTCACTGTGTCTGAAAAGAGCTGGACACCTTTGGACAGACCTCCCGGGGGTTAAAATTAAGCTTGCTCTGTTCCAAGATCTTGTTACTTTGAGACAATGCTTCTGCATTTTTGTACCCCTCTTCCCCCTCTTTTTTTTTTTTCTCTTTCGGACAAATAGTTATGTGGCGTGAGGCTTGTTAGAGTTGGAAACAGCCCCAAGTAAACAGCTGAGCTTAAAAATACTCCTTTTTTTTGTCTGGCCTTTAGAAAAAATAGTAGTTATTGCACAAAAGAAGACTATGCTGATGCCAATCACTGCGTTCCAGCTGAAAACAGGAAGCTGCCCCGAGTGTCTGTCCCCAGCACTTTGACTATGCGGCTCGGACATTCAAAGCCTCAAGGAGGATGTGCCCTGTGCTATGAATTGGATCCCTTGATCTCTTTTTTTTTCCTTTTTAATGAGGTGGAAGGCTGCCTATGACAGATAAGTGTGTATCCTGCATGTCTGCTTCCTGATCTGTACCAGAATTCATTCATTTTGCTGGGGATTTTCCAGCCTCACTTCAAACAGGTAACTGTGATGGGGAGATACCTGCTCATCCAGACCTGGGCTGGCAGGTGCCTGCAAGCACTGCCTAAACCCTCTGCCTTACCTTGTGCACCCTTTTATCTCTAAACCCTACATGAGGGGATTGTATTTCAATCCAAAATCTGCCTTTTGCACTGTGTTCAAGCAGCTGAAGAAGTAAGGAGACACGGAGTTCACACAATGCACGGGAGCCCTAAGATCTTGCAGCCCAATGCAGTAGTGAGCAGGCCAAGTCTTGCTAGTCTGTCTTCCCAACAAATCCCCCTCTCTGGGTTGGTGTCTGCCATGGAGCATTCAGGGATTCCCAGATGTTGCTGATCAGGAGACTGCCTTTTCCCCAAACAAGAGCAACTTTGGTTTGGCCCCAACATTTTTGTGCCTTCAGTGAGAACGCTGTCAGGGAAAAGGAGCTCAGGCTGCTTGAATGAATATGTGTTCCCCGAGTTCAGCTCAGGATCCTTTAGCATCTGTTGTCAATCCCCAGAGGTGCTGTCTCTTGCCAGGTGCTGTGCCTGCAGACATTTTGCTGTTCTAGATTTAAGCTGGATTTCCAGGCAACTGCTTTGTAATTTTTTGAAGTCATTTTTTTCCTTGAGGACAAATCGGATTTCCTTCATGTTCCCTTCCTCCATATCTCCTTCAAATCAGATTCAACTTTGAAGTGAGAAGTCCGCGGTGTTGATGAACCAAGTCCGTGATGCAGGCCATATGTGACCACTACAGCGCTGTGACCTTCAAAAGGTCTTGGGAGCTTGTAGGTCTCTATGGAAGCAAAAGTTAGCTCATATTACCCAGGACCTGGATGCTTTTCATGTCACAGTAGTTGAGAATAGAACATAAAAGGCATTTTGCACCATGATGGAAATAAAGATGTTAGCTACTGCTTCCTAGAAAAACACCACTGCTGACACTGCCCTCCCTGGCTTTGATCCTGTAGGACTCTGCGGATTTAACTGGGCTGTCTTCACACCACTGTGGAAAGGGAAGAAGCCTGTTAGCTTTTATTTTGTGAGGGCAATCGTAGGAAGAAACAATCTGGTCGCTCTTTACTTTATGAAAATATGAAGCCCAACATGTAACCTACCGAGCATCCAAGACCACAGTAAGAATCAGGAGTAGGAGCTGGTGCTCAGCACCTGTGGAAGGAAGAGCGTCTGCTTTTTGGCAGCCCACCTGGTGATGCACCACCTTTGGCTGTCGTAGATTGATGCCTTCATCAGTGCTCTCATGATTTAAAGAAGTCCCCCTCTTTGCTGTCACTCAGGTGTAGAGCCTCATGGGCAGGCATGACCTGCTCTTCTCACCAACGCTCCCCTCAAAGCATGACAGTGCGTGCTACAGGATGGTGTGTCAATAGTAGGACTTACTATTTCTTTCCTTTCTTTTTCTTTCCTTAAATGAAAACCAGGGTTGTAAAGCCACTTTCACCATCATTTTTCAAAGCACATAAAAGCAAGCGAGTACCTGATCTCTCAGCTCTTATGTCATCCAGCCCCATGCTGTGGTGGAGAGCAGGGTGCAGCCACTCTCCAGGACCAGCACAGCCGAAGGCCTCATGACAGTGCAGTTCAGTAAGACTTGGTTAATCATTTAGGCAGTCTCCATTTAATTCAGACATCCCAACCTCTCCATTCGGTTCCTCCCTTGGGTTTTGCAGACTCCAAGCAGACAGATTTATTGGGGTCTTAAGCATAATCAGGAACAAATTAGCCTCTGTTAGGATCACACGCTGGCCTGGATCACAGCTATTCAAAGGCTGCCTTCCCATCCATGTGAGTATGAATTAAGTCATCGGGTTGGAGTAGGTCTTGAGTATTCTTTTAACCCAAACACATGATCTTATCAGAAGCCCATTACGTTTATCATCGCATTAGGAGGGAACATTTGGAGCCAGTGCAGGAGTATGTTGCTATATAAACGTTGTGCTTGCTTCAGTGCCTGTCATGAAAAGAAGTCAGTTCTTTAGGAAGGCCAGGGAAACGCTGTCTAAATGCCTAAAATGAGGCTGTGAGTTTCTGGGGATGTGTTTGCATCAGTAGGGTGGCTGCTCTGGGGATGTGTAAAGAGAGTGTCTATGTGTTTGTGTGTCAGTGCTTCTGTCAGTGTGGGTGTGTAGCAGGGTGCTCTTGGGTGCTGGTATTTCACTGTAAGTGTATATGTGACTGTGCATATGTCAACAGGCTGAATGTTGGGTCTTTTTAATAGGGTGTGTGTTTTCCTTTCTTTTGCTTTTTACAGAAATAAGCCTCTTTTCCTAAAATGACAAAGAAACCCTTTTAAAAAAAAAAAAATCCATGTTTTCATATGTTTGGGATTTGTTTCTGAGGATTTTTGATTGCTGACCACAGGCTTTCCAGAGCTGAATGTTTCTCAGGGATTTCTGCTGAGACTCTCACTCAAACTGGGACATAGTGCTCCAAGGCGGGCAAGCTGCTTAGCTTTTATCCTGCTGTTCTTGGGTACAGCAGAGACCTGGCCTACGCTTTGCTATTGCTCTGCAGAGAAAGGAGCAGAACAAGAAATGCATAAGGATAAGGTGAAGGGAACCAAGGCTTTGCCTCCATGGCCATCACAGTGTGAATGAGCCACACTTGTGCAGCACTGTGCCAGCACTGATAAGCCCTACAGAGAAACAAGGTATGTCGCAGGGATGTCCAAACTGTGGCTCCCAGGGCACGTATCGTTCATGACCAGTTCAAGTTCACATTCCCAGCTGGGTCAATATCAGATGAGGACTAGCATGGCCCTGCTGGCATCAGTGCTGTTGGGCGATAGGCCCTGGGAAAGGCAAGGCAGTGGCTGCTGGGGCCAGCACTGCTGGGTTGCCTTAGGGCCCATCTGCGCATCCACAGAGCCCCTTCCCACCGCGGAGCAATGGGACACCCCGGGGAGCCATTGTCATCTCTTCCCTGTGAAGCACTCTCCCAAGCCTCCTCCTCCCAGCCATTCGAGGTGTGTGGTATATGTTCAGTGGCTCCCAGCCATATGAAGATTTTAAGACGTGACATGTAGGGTCAAGGAGTTTGGCCACCCCATCTCAGGCGCAGGGCTGCACTCATACAGCTGAACAGCTTCCAGGTTCCTGCTGGCTCCTTTTCACCAGCTCACAGCGCTGGCCCAGCAAACACACAGCTCCCAACACTTACCCACGTACACGAGTTGTCCGCAGAGGTCATGATGAAACGAAACCATAATGATTGACTTCTCCATTCTTTCAAACTCACACTCTCAGAAGGACCTGGAATTTTTCACGGGGGACTGGGAGGACGGGAGGGGAAAAGGAGTGAAAGTCATTAAATAATTGAATTGCAATAAACTGATTTTTTCTGGCTCATGGTGGTATTTCACTGTGTAAACTAGGAGGAAAAATAAACAGGGGATTTAGTAGTTTGGAAGTAGCTCAAAATTGAGCAGCCGTTGGATTTTCTGACACCTAGCTCGAGATAGTCCAATGCTACCGGCAGGACTCTCCTTAGGGATCGCTTCCATCAGTCCAGCTAGCAGCTCTGGCTAATTTCCTACCAGGTTTTTTTTTTTCAGCAGGCTTATTTGCCAGACAAAAATACAACAGGCTGTCAGAACTGGATACCTCTGGGGACTGGCAATGATAATACAATACAAAATAGGATACCAACAGGTCAAAGGTTTCCATTTCAGAGAGTACTCTAATGACTGAAAGTCATTATTGCTATGCAGTCTGTTTGAAAAGAGTAGATGGATCTCAGTTCAGTTTTTAATGGGCCAGTGTTACAGAAACAACCTCAAAAATTTGGCATCTTTGTTGGCAGTCTCATTAGAGAAGCCACAGAATAAATGGACGAGGATAATAAAGTCTCCTGCTGCTTTTGATCCTTTCAGGTCAAATCTGAGTCATGTTGGTTGAAGCCGTGTGTGCATGTGGCAAGCTTACCCTCACACATTGTATACTGTGTCTGCTCTGTGGATAAACAGATCCCTTAGGCCCTTTGGTCACTACAACTGTGAACTTGGCAGTTTTCACCATCCCAAAATTCACAGTTGCTGCTGCTGCTGTTGTTTTGCAGATATCTTTTAGAAGCAAAAAGGGAAACGTTGCAGACCAGCCCCTCTGCTGGCGTTTTTCCATCCAAGTTGGTGGAATTACGCCAACACCCACATTGTCTCTCTATGTATTTTCTGTCTCTGCTTTCTTCTGTCTCCATCTTTTCAAATGGAGATAGATGAAAATAAGCAGAAATCCCCTTACATTAGGAAATGTCTTGGGGGAATTGCCCAATATAAAAGTTGACTATCGTTGCTTGGCTTTTTTTAAATCACCTTGCTATTGCCTAGGAGTGCTTTCACTTCCCAGTGACCTGGTCCAGCAGATACAGGACACTGATGTTATCAGGTCCTAGTTCTTACATTGCTACCTGTAACCAGCGCTTCGTGATTTCTCTTCTTCCTGGCAGATGAACCCAGCAGGTGCTATTTCCATGATGGTGATGGAGTATGTGAGGAATTTGAGCAAATGACCAGCATCAAAGACTGTGGTGTTTACACTCCCAAAGGCTTCCTGGATCAGTGGGCTTCCAACGTCTCCGTCTCACATCACAGTGACCAGCAGTGTCCAGGATGGGTGGTCATCGGTCAGCCAGCAGCAACCCAGGTAAGAAAGCATGTGTTCTTTCCTGTCTTGGAGAGCAAAGTCCAGCAAGAAGCAACAGTCATGAATGTAGCTCAATGGTCAACATTGGTGTGTGATGTTTCCTCTGCCCGTTAACTTGCTGCTTCACCAAGGAAGGCCCCTGACAGCAGTTTCTCTCTTTCTGAGCCTGATAAGTAGTGAAGAGTTGAAATTCAGTTCCAATCATGCATTCAATATGCTGTGTAGGAGCCACCTCGAGCAACTATCACCACCAAAAAGCCTAGACAGGCTCTCTGCAGCTAGCACAGGCTACTGTCTTGTGGCGATGAGATCTGAAGGCTAATGCTGAATAACACAAAGGAGCGTTCTTTCTTTTTAATAGTTTTGTGTTTTCTGTCTCTCAGTTTCATAAAAGCACCCTATTGTTCTATTCTGAGAAAGGTCCCGTCCATTCCCAAAGCCATTCATTAGTTTTAACCCCCTTCTTACATGTCTCCTTTGTAACATAAATAGCTCCAGTTACCATAACTTTACCTTTTGTCTCCCTGAAAGAATTAGATCCAAATGAGTTCAAAAAGACATTAGACAAATGCCTGGAAAACAGAGCTGTACATGATGCAGATGCAACAGTCCAGATGCAACCTGACTCAGGAAAGCCCATGTTGCTTATTGATGTTTTTTAGAGGATGCAAGATATAGTAGAGGATATAGATATAGATATAGGAGCTGCTTTGTATGTTCCTCCTTGAGCATCCACTGTTGTCCCTTGCTTGAGATAGAGCAGTGAATTACGTGGACTTTTGGGTTGATGCAGTAAAGTTGTTCTGACAGTCTAATTACCGGGGAGGTGTCTTGTGGGCAGTGCAGAGAGGGATGTCACAGATAGGACAAGCAGATTTCTCCATGAATAGTAAACACAAAGTATTTCCAGTTGGCTTGCAGAAGAAAACATCTTTATGCAAGAGACTTGGCCTTGTCCACATTGCACAAGTCTGTAACAAATTAATGACCAGGTCAGTTTTAAACGCACAAAGCTTGGATAGTACCAAGACACAATCCAGAGCCCAGTATTGCCTCTTTGTCATGGTCTCATTTATTATCTCACCCTGTAAAAGGAACTTTTACCTGGACCACTACCAGTGCCTTCATAACTTCATTCTCATTTGAGTTCCCTGTAGGACAGCCCAAAGCCCACTGCCTCGAGTTCAGGTACTGCTTTATGTGCATGTCCCCAAGCACTCGGTGCCCATGCAGCTGCTATGGAATGCTGCCCTGTTTTTTCTCCTAAGGCACTAGTAGAGATGCAGCCACCCCATGCAGTAGGTAACATATGGTCCTGCGGTGGGATAACCACCACCACGTGCACACGCAAAGCCCTGCTGTGTAGCCACAGCTCAGGCTTGTATGTTGTACCCGATGAGATGAAGTTGTCACAGCCTTGTTAAAACAAAAAAAAAGGGGGTTGGAAAAAGTGCTGTTGTATTTATAGGCAGAGCACTGGCATATCACACACTGCCAGAGTGAATGGGAACATGCCTCCTGTTATTGCCTGGCCCCTGGGGAGATAACAGTGTGCTCTTTACTTCCAGCAAAAGAATTTTTGCTTTAGCTCAGCTGGTCCTGTTACCAGTTTGAGTGCATGGGGTTCACTGACCTTTATAATCATATATGTTGAGAAAGTCTTTGTTTTCCCCAGGAACAAGGAGGGCTCGTTGGCTTGTGAAAGCACCTGACTTGTCACTGCAGAGAGGTTAGGTGGGGCAGCAGGTCATCAGTGTTAGCCAGCGGAGATGAAAATTAACCTAAGATCTCCTCTAATCACTGCATGTAATGATCACTGGTGTGTAAACATGTTTGGCTTCATTATCTGTACAAGCATTGAGCCTTCGGGGGTGGGGGGGTGGTGTATTGATGAAAGGAGCACCTTTCCTCACCCAGATATCTTTTGGAGTAGGTTGTGTGCTTGCTGGTCTTGTGCAAACTTTTCGTGTTGTTGCTGGGTAGTTTCCTGATTAATCAGAGTGGTATTTCTGTTGGCTTCTCATCAAGAATGCCATGAAAGATATGTTTGAGTGCAGTGCACAGCAATATACAGAATACATAAGCTGCCTGATTGTTAGCCATCCCATTTCTCATAATTGCCCTGGTGCACTCAAGGTGCTTTAAAGCATTTTAAGCATGTCCTTCATGATTTAAAATGTTTCTCATCCTTAGATAACTCAAGACCCGTTTCTCTGCTTGACTCCCATGGTTTTTGCCTGGGCTGTTTCTGAGGAGTTGGGTTTTTACTGGGGTATTTCTCAGCAATATCTGCCTGCATGCACTTGTTCACTGCTGGAGGATTGTTTATGAGCACAAGCAGGAGAACACTCCCTTATTATTGTAGGGTTGCCTCTGAGCACCCCACACCCCTTTGCTCAGTTCACTTCAGACAGTGCGTGTTTCTGAGTCGGTTGTTCCTTACAAGTAGGGTTGCCCTCACTTGCTCGTTATTTTGAGCTGGATCTGACATGCTGGCTGCTTCCTTGTGAGTACGAGGCTGCTGAATGGCAACATACGAAGGGAGGGGAAGAAAGAAGTTCACAGTATAAGATTTGTTTTGAACAACAAAATGCTTACAAAGAATGACACAGTCTTGGCGAAGAGATACACATTTGAGAAATGGAAAGGTCAAACAGCCCCCCCCCTTGAAACAATTGCTCTTTCTGCAGAAGCAAGACTGAGAGACAACCACTTCTACTTTCCTGGCAGCCACTCTTCAGTGCTGATTAAGAAATATTCTCAGTACTGACAGCATCCTATTTAGAGCCAAAGGGGACCAGTCAGCAACATTGCACCAGCACAGAGATGCGATGTAGGGTGTTTGTACAGTTGGGTTTCTAATCCAGCGTCCTCCTTCATGCAGACACTGCTCAGTACCTGTTGTCAACTGCAGGAGGAATTCAGCAGCAAGGGCTTTGCACACTCTTGGGCTGCTCTTTTCCCTACTGCTCTTGCTGTGAGTCTGTAAACAGCCTCTCCTTGCCATCCACTGTGTGTGAAATATTATCGGTGTTGATGGACTGCTTGTGTGGAGTTTTCTACAGCACTGTTTATTTCTCAGGGCCTTTCTTGTGCTAAAGATTATTGATGCTAGCATTAAGTCATCAGCTGGTGTGTGCTGGCAAAGACTACAGAAAGGCAGTAGCACTAGGCAGATTTATACTGGCTGAAGGACAGATCCAGTAGGCATAAACACAAAGGGTACTTCGTCTGATCTGGTTGGTGAATAGCTGCAGTCTTTCTGTGTTGGAAGTCCCCAGTGACTTATTTCCCTGACTGGTTTGTACCCAGCTCAAGTCAGCCTCCTCTTTACCAGCAGGAGGGGGTAGCACATGGCCTCCTGACACCACGTTAAGCAAACCTGGGCTTGACAAGACATGAGTTTAAAAAGCCAAACTATGGCCTACCCAGACAGTTTCCATTGTAGCATCACTGGTAAAGATGCATCAATAAGGTGTGTGAAGTAGGAATGTGCAGTGTGGATCAGGTCACTGTAAAAGCTTTGCTGTCCTTCAGGGCTCAAGAAACCCTTGAGGGTTTCCCTTGGGGGGAAACAAGGTCTTGCAATGGCCTTCATAGATTCAGCCTCCTTGCCCTCATTGCCAATTTTGTTCTGGCACAGCTTACACTGGGTGAGTGCATTAGCTGTGTTAGTCTCCCTTTCTAGAGTAGGTTGTACTGAGCAGGAAGGATTTGGATCTAAAGTGTCTTTTTTATACAGACATGTCTTTGGAGGAAGCCTATGACAGGTCTGTCTCAAGGGGTGGCTCCATGGTTTGAGTGGTGGCACTCCTGCTTTTGGAGAACTGATTCATCTGCAGTTTCCCTTTGGGCCATTGTAAAGAGAATTATAAGAGGGACTAATGGATGTTTAGGTGGCTTACTGCTGATCTCGCTCCTCCTGTCACAGCAATGTGTGCTCAAGACTTGGAAGCTGGGGGGGGGGGTGTTGGTGATTTAGAGGGCCAGTCTCCCAGTAACTGTCTTTCATTGCATTTCCTCCCAGTTATGCAGAAGTTGTTTAGACCAAGTAACCCTATATGTATATATATAAATTTATTTTCTTTCTCCCTGTGCCATTGTTTGGGCTTGGGTTTCCCATGTATGGAAAAACCACACAGCCCAGCACAGCTAACCAAAAGGAGACTCTTTCCCAAGGCTGCTGGGCACACACAGATCCTGTTCGTTCCCAGACTGATGAACACACCCTGTTCTCATCTGGGTACCCCACAGGGGCTGCTGTGGAGTAACAAGTTGTGGAAGAGGATTCTTATTACATCTTTCCCACAAACAGCGGCCCCCTCCTGCCCCTATTGCAGTTCCCACAATTGCGCTCATCAAGACTCATGCCACGAACCTATCCTTCCACCAGCAGCAGAAAGATGTCTAGAACTGCAGTATGTCTGTAATTGCCCACAAAAGGAGAAGACAGGAGCAGAGAAATGCTCGGAGTACTAGAGGAAACAACATGGTAGAGCAAGGGCTCCAAGAGTGGTAAGAAAATACTGTAAGAAAATGGGAGAGAAAGACGATCTCTGCCACACAGTTTTATTCTGTCTAATAAATATAACACTGAAGATAATTCCCCAAAGATCCAGCAAAGCCAACTAATAGAATAATGTTGAACAGGAATGGGAAGAGAGGAAACCTGCAACTTTTAATGGAGAAGCCATTCCTTTCCTTTGGGGTGATCTTGCTGAGAAGAGGGAGGGTGTCTGCTTGTTGGCTCTGCAAGCGGCCCTTTTTGAACTTCCCAATTCACAGCCAAGTCCTGTTGCTCTTCAACGGTAAGAGGTTTGTTGTGGTTGGAGGGATAGAAGAATCCCTATTTTTAATAAGATGATTTGCTTTGCAAATGTCTTTGTTATTCATAGCTGAGCCAGGCTTCGAACCACTAATCTCTGGAGGATGAGGGCAGAATCCCACTAAGAAAAACCAGTAATGGAGGAACCATGGATGATCAGGGGTTAGTTCTGAAA